GCGAGCCAATGAAATAACAGAACCCTTAGTGTTCAGAGTATGCAAACTTGTGCTTCGTGGACATTAATTTTCTTGACTACAAAAAAATCAACCAATATAGCCCCGCAAAGGTTTGAAGTAACCTTAATGACTGTCTGTTATTTGTAGTTCTTGTCTTACAGTTTGACAGATGAAAATTCATTTAAAAAAAGAAAGTAGTGAATTACCTTGTGTATCTAGCAGTATGTTCTCTGGCTTGAGATCTCTAGAAAAAAAATAAACAAATACAATTGTGGAGATCAACAACAATAGATGGCAAATTTAACTGTGAATAAAATTAATGTAAAAGATGAAATGTTCACCATGTCGCAAGCATTCAACAAAGACTGAGTACCTGAAGCATACAATTTTGGTTGGGCATTTTAACCATTGAGGTATGGAGAAACTTACATTGAGCTGCACAGTTTATAACAAAGGTTTAAGTGACAAGCACATCCTAACCACAGCTAGGATCAGCAATGTCAGACATGTTATGCATGCGATATGCTAAAGATTTCACCTTTAACAATCATATTCAGGCCTCGGAAAAAGCTTGAATTCCAGCTTACCCTTGGGACAAGCAGCCCACACATTTTTCTTGCCCTGGGCAAGTCCTTGTTTATTTGTGTGTGTGTGTGGATTTAGCTGGCAGATGACTTGCCTAGGGCTTTGCCCATTGTGCAAGTAAGAATGAAAAAGTTACTTGCCAGGCAGGACAATTTACTTGTCCTGGACACCAGGACAGCAATTTTTTCAAGCCCTGAATATTAAAATAGTGATTATCACAACCTATACCAAATAATGTGTTTCGGTTTTCAACAATGACATTAAATACTTCAGACCTTAATGTTTTTGTAAGATAATTAAACATTTTTCAATTTCAGCCCAGAACTCACTTTTAGTTTTAGTAGCAATACATGTACATAAGTGGTAACACTAGGACTATTTCTTCTATCACCTGGATGGAATTATTTGCTAGTTATAGTACGGTTACCCCTAGCATTTCACTTGCAGGTACCCATTTAAACACCTGTGAGGGGAAACATTAGGGGAAAGAACACAATACAACAACCATGGCCAGCCTGGGTTCAATTTAAAATTCAAACAATTTACTCCAGTACAATAACCATTAAGCTACCACGTCTCCCTATGTATTTTTGTCAAGCCCAATAAATTATCTCTCAAATGGAAAGCTATCATCATTCCATTACAAAAATACCTACCTGTAAATAATTCCCTGCTTATGGAGATGTTCCAAGGCCAGCACTATTTCAGACAAGTAGAAGCTGTGCGTAACAGACACATATTCTTAAGCTCGAGTGCAAGGTAAATATATATAAATGATAAAATGCAGTGTTCATAGGCTGGGATCTACTGTTCAACTTTTACCATGCTGTGTCTTCCATGAAAATTCCTTCTCTCTCCAAGTGCATGAAAAGTTCTCCACCTATCAAGAAAGGCACAGGTATCAATAGGATAATCTTTGCTAACATTTTTTCTCAAATTTTTTTTTTTTTGACATAATGGGTCTAAATTGACCAAAATTTTAATAAGCTCATAAATAGATAGCTATATATCATTTTCATGTGTAGCCAGTATATTCAGCTGCCCTCTCCAACAAAAAAATAGGAGCAAGCATCTGTACATCATCATTGATAATCATATTGAAGGCCACATGATTTTCCCAATGACCATTTCCAGTTTAATATACTGATGTAACAGATTTAGAATTTTTAAGTTTAAAAGCCAGATTTGCGGACGTAATCAGCATTTTATGGTGACAAAAATATTTCACGAGTGGTCTGTTTTTTTCTTTGTGAACTTAAATAGGTCATTAACTGTCTCATGAAAAGATTACATACAGAGAGCAAATTCTTTTGATCTCTCCATGTGCCACATCAGAAATTGTGACACCAAAATGGTTTTAACACAGACGCATGCTCCAATTTTCTTTTTTAAGGAAAGAAGGCTGTTCCACACGTTTATTTTAAGTGCTGTAAAACTCTTGAATTTAAAAGTGATGATAGTACAAGGCTGTGCTTCTCTACATTTGTGCAGTTTTTATCGCAAGCAAGACAATTTTGTATACTTTGGTGAAAACAACTATTGAGCAACCGTGACAATTCAACCTATAATTACATACAGAAGAGAAACAAATGAATAAGCAATAGCTGCTAAAGCCATTTGTTTGTCTCCAATTTTTAATTATAGGTTGATTTTATAATTATTTTAAAATACCACAACCAACAATGAAAACATACCACTGAGATATTCCAAAATAAGGTACAGTTTTCCTCCAGTTTGAAAAGCATAGATTAGGTCAACTATAAAAGGATGCTGCAAAAAATTAAATTTGATAGTGTTTTTAATATTCAAACTTAATCAAGTCAACTGTACATCAAGTAACCTTTAGTTAGTAGAATAGCGACAATGAAGTTGTGAAAAGAAATGGCTAAATGTCCTAACATATATGATTCAAGAGGCTTGAAGGAAGCTTGATCAAAATGAGGGAACGCACTTGAAGCAAATCACATTCCCTGCCTGCACTTCTCATTTACATTAGTCATCATGAAAAAAAAAATCATTTTCTGAGTAAAGAAATCTCTCGTATCAATACTAGTCACACTATGTTGTAGCTTACACTGCTTTTTCATTTGAAAACTTTTGAATGCAGCACATGTACAATTTTTTTTTACTTTACCCAATATTATCAAAAAAGGAAGATTAAAACACTCAAACTGCTT